GGAATTGCAGAAGTTGCAAAGGCAGATACATCACCAGAGAGAGAACACAGCCAGCTCATACATACAGAAGGAAAAGCAAGCAACAGTAACAACAAAAATAACAACAGCAGCAGCACAAACACCACAAAGAACAACCTCAACACTTGTCAATCTGTACCTTTTGCAACAAACGAAACAAACGCCGCTCCTCCTCCTCCTCTCTCTCTAGGTGCTGAGAGTGCAGCAGAAAAGGGCGACGAAGACGAAGACGAAGACAGAGAGAAAAACAAAACGCATCAACAGAGAAGGCTGCCGAAGATCCTCTTTGAGCCCGCACCCAAACGGCCTCAGCTCTCTTCCTCTTCTTCTCCTGCAGCAGCAGCAGAAACTCCTAAGAACGAAAATCAAGGACCTGACGCAGAAACGGGTAATATGGCTGGACTTTTGACTTGCATGGGCTGGCGACTCCTACGGGTTTAGGGTTTAGGGTTTCGGGATTATAAGGTTTTTTGTTGTGAGTTGATTCATCTATGGATGCACTCATTCTCTTTTTCGTTTAAAGAAAGGGCAGACAAAGGGGTAGAGGGGGAAGCTGAAGTAGTTGTTGGTTTGTGTGCACGCTTGTTTCTTGTTTGTTTGTTTGCTGGCGTTGTTTCACCGCGTTCACTCTCTTTCCTTGTCTAGTAAATGGATTAATAAATAGCGGTTTCCAGCATTGTGGTTTGTGGCTGTGGCGTTCGAATCTCAGANTCTAGTAAATGGATTAATAAATAGCGGTTTCCAGCATTGTGGTTTGTGGCTGTGGCGTTCGAATCTCAGAGAGAAGAGGTGGAGAAGAAAAAGCAGATTCAGATTCAGTATCTTCTTGTGCACGCGTCTTTGTTCGTCGTGGCGACGAGAAGGTTACTGCATCTAAAGATATTAAAAATGCATCTAGCCGGGAAAAGATATCTGAAAAAGAGGAAACAGAAAACAGCGCAAAGGTGAAACGACGCAGCAAACGAGAAGAAGCGGTGGGAGGCCTCGAACAAGGAAGAAGTGATGAGATGCAGCAGATACTGTGGGGGATATCTGCTTTTAATGAGGCGAAGACGGAACCCCCTAACATGAATAGCCAGCAGCGGCATGGAGCAGATACAGATAAAGTAGAGCCGGCTGCGTCTGTTCAGTCGTATGATGGCTGCGAGAGGAGGAATACAGGCAGCACACAGATGTCGCCGTACTCGCAGATAAACAGGCAACCAGCTTCTTGCAACTACTTGTGGAGGGGAAAGGCTTACGCAAACACACAAGGAGATCAAGGTGGAAACTCCTCGCAGCGCTTGGGGCACCGAGCTCAGCCGTGGGCAAGGCAAGAGTCTGGACAACAGGTCAGCAGGAAAAATGTTTTGGCCGCACAACCCCAAGAAAGTTCCCCTACTTGCATGCACTCATTTATATTCCCTCCTTCGTTGCCTCTACTGTGCCCGCATTTGGTATTGTTATTCTCCTTTCGCTCGTTTTTGCTTGTGTTCACGTTTGATTGAGCAGACGTACGCAGCTCTTAGCACGTTGAAGATGATGCACGGCAGCGGAGAACCAATGGTTGATCCGTATGAAACGCGGGAATCGTCTTGTCACCCTTTTTATGAGAGCTATTTTCCGCCTCCGCCTCCGCTCTCGCCTCGTAAGCCATACGCGCCTCCTCACCCGACCAGTTACAGACGAAGCAATGCCGTTCGTGGTGCCTCCAGCAGCTGGGGGGGAGGAACTATTGGACATGGCACAGCCCATGCTTTTTCTGCAAGGGCTTGCGGGCCGTCTCCCCCTGCCGTCTCTCTTCATTGGAAAACACACCGAGAGGGACAGGACTTCGAATGCAGTGGGACGCAACTCGTTTATGACTCCAGGCCTGCAGTGCCTTCTTCTCCGATTCACGGGAGCTCCGTCACTGCCCAAGCTGACAATGCCGTATCCTTAGTTCCCAGAGGGACCCGGTCTCCTCCGTTTCAGTCAGAATGTTCAGACGAACAGGTAGAGGCCGACAAGCCTAAAACCCTGCGATCTCCGGATTTGATGGATTGGCCTCGTCATGAGGAGGAGCCTGTTGCTAGAGGAGGAGCTCTTCTAGCTCCCGACCATGCAGGGGCGCTTCCGGGTAGTGGTGCATCTGGCTCTACTTTGAAGCCTCCCTGTCGGAACAAAAACGAGGGATCCAGTGTAACTTCGCGGGAGCGTTTGCTTACAACCTCTCCTAGTAGCGCTCCTCGATCCTCCAAGGCCACGAATGTTCATATAGCCCAAGACGGTAGCCAGTTTAACCGGGATACTCCGATATCAAAGCCGTCCGATGCCGTGACTGACCACAACTTGACTCCCGCCGCCAAGGTCGACTTGCAGACTGAATACAAACTATACTTGAAACAGCGTCTGGAAGCAGTTATGCGTGGAGTGTGGAGCTGGCGTTCCGAGTCAGTTGAGGACTTCTCAGAATATCATGAGAAGCCTTTTTCAGCGACTGTTGCACAGAATGTGAGGACCACGTTTCCCTCCCATCATCCGCTCATGAGCTGTGGTGCAAAATCCCGATTCCGGTAGCTTGCAAGGAATGTTGAGTTATATTTTGTGTGGTGTTTTCTACAGGCAATTAGGAATGGCTTCACTCCATACATCCTGATGCACTATGCCTCAACTACAGGCGTAGAGGAAAGTCTGAAGCCACTGGACATGTCTGTTCGCGGGAGAAGAAATATTCCCTTTTACGGCTTTTCGGAGGAGTTGGTCGATTCATTATGCAGCGGCATCGGTCACGGCATGATGTACTACTCCGTGATTCCTGGTAGCGTCTTCCCCATTCATTGCGAGCAAGGTGGTCTCGGGGCATTCAATATTATTGTTGGGGCGCTGATGCCCTATACTGAGCAGTTGTACCCTTAAAGGAGTCTTTGTCTGCAGTCTCAATATATTTCATGCCAGGGAGGAATCCCGCATACATTGGCTTTGATATGTTTCAAGCCTTCATCTAATGGCGTTGACATCCTACGAATAAGTTGCAGTGTAACTAGCACTTTTTATAATAGTGGGGTGTTTGACGATTCGGAGTGGATGAAGAGATTAGCACAGGTTTTCAACGGACACATGCTTTATGTGGCTCGTGGGACAAAAAGTATGGGTTTCAGTTTGCCCAAGGTTTTCTTCACCGTCGAGGAGACGGTTTGATACCATCGAAGGCTAAAGCCTTGCGAGAGCGGTTGCTTTCGCTGCTTGCTCGAACCACACCGTTTGAGCTGAGTTGGTCGCGGCATCTCCACCAACTAGGAACTCAGTGTGCTGAGTTTTTGGCGATGGTTGCTCCAGTAAGCAGCGCGGCATAGAAATCAGTGAGATCCTGTTTCTATATTTAAAACCGATGAGTGAAGTCATTGAACTTCTGTGACAGATCCATGGAGGCGACGGCCTGGACAACGGGTTCCAGTACAGAAGTGACGCGTTGCCTCAGGGTTTCAAAAGCTCCGGAAAGGTCGCTGAATTCCGCGAGGTCTTGAATGGTTTTCCCAGGAGAAATGTCCTGGATACGGATGGCTTTGAGTTGATCCATCTTGGCGGATACATCGAAGGTGGAGGCTATGAGTTCATAAATCTTGTCCATGGGGGGCATCATCTCTTTAACAGTTTTTGTGTATCCAGAGACTGTCTCCTGTAGACTGCTGCTTCCTTCACTGATAGAGTCCGCCAAATTCTTGGGTCGAACGCTGTCCACCATGTGGGATACCACGTGATTCGTGATGTCAACTTTGGAGTATGATTCCACCGTCGCTTGTAAAGCTGTGAAACGAGCAGCTAACTCGTTCCGCGACTTGCTGGCCAAGTCGGAGAGGCCCTCCATGATTTGTTGAGGGTTCTGGGACGTGATCTTGTCCATTGTGTTTCTTGAAGCGTCCAACATCTTCGTTAACGGTGATGATGATGATGCGAGGGCGTCAGTAATATCTGAAATACGGAGTTGTTGTTTACTTTATTTGAACATTAACAATCTTTGTTAAACCAAATGGCTTACATTTTCAACTTTTAAGATGACCTTTGGTAATTGGCTTCGAGTAGTTTAATGTCTGAAACGAATTGTGAGCAGCCAGAACGGCATCTCGCCCTCCAGGTGTCTAGACACCTGGGGTGGCTGTTAGAGTAGCACACAGCTGATGTTAGTCTTGATGGGGAGTGAAACTCGTATGTTTCGCTCTAGGTTCTGATTTTCCACAAATTTTAGGGAAAATTAAATGTTTCGATTGCAAAGCACTAACGTAACCTGGTTGTTCCAGTTTCCAATCCGGCTAGGGTTCTTGCAGTTCTTAAGCCGTCATTGGCACAGGATGGATAATTGAACTTCTAGACTAGTTGACCAATGTTAATCAAACNATACAGGATACGGTTACAGTCTTCTCTAAAGAAGGGGCTACTTATGTACGAATTCCGTCGCGCCCCCCTTGGTCCAGTGGTCAACACGGTTCAACAGCGAAACTGAGACAAGGCAGCTAGTGAACTCTAGATTCTCCTGAAACCGTTCAAGTCCACTTCAATATATTCCTATTATAGACTCAAAACAGCTTAATCTCACATTAAAAAGAACGTTTGTGCATGTAGAGTGCGCAGGCGTGCCCAGCCCTCGGTGCGGCAGTGCCTCGCTGCATGCAGCACCGCACACGTTTGTATCTGTTTCTGCCAAGTGTCTGCCGACAATCAAACAAATTCCAGCAATATGGCTGGATACAAGCTGTTATTTATATGGAGAGCGGCTTTTTTTAATTCTGGCGTTTGTGGGAACAGAGCCGCGAGATGATACCCCAACGGCATCTGGAATACTACATGACCGAGTGGGTTACGGCATCTCTGGAGGCAATTGTAGCTCACCGGTTGTTCCCATCTATTGGCTCTCCCTCTTCTAAGCCTGTAAATCTTCTTCGGCCGACGCATGTGTCCGATGAGTTGGCTCCGCTTCTCTGCAGCAATGACTGTTCTCCGTGGGATGTGCCTCCAACGACAAATGACGCTTTCCGAAGTGTTGCAGGTTCGTATAAGAACAATACTGGCCAAACCCGCAGTGCTTGTCTGTACTCGGTGGATTTCATTCCCGAGTCGGCTCGTCATTTTCGCATAGAGGTTCCGCAAATTGAGAGTCTGAGGGCCGCTTTGCTGTGCGATCCAAAGTTCAATCTGCGTCATTCTTGGCAGCTTCGAGTAGTCGTTTGCTTATGCATGCCGACTTCTCGCTTTTCAACTCTGGGGGATTCCAGAAGCGGTTCGTCGTCGGTGAGGCCTCACGATGCGAAATCAACTGAGAGTGACTTGAATGAAACGGACTCGAATAGAACGTCGGCTGAGTGCTCTTTTCGCGAGTCTACTTGTCGCCCATTAGTGCTTAGTGGCGCAAGTGTTTACTCGGATGCCCAGAGGCGAGACTCTCCCCTGCTTTCCCTTCATTCTGCGGAAAGAGAGAGCCACACGCATCACTGTCTAGAGCAGTGGATCCTCAGTTTCCGGTCGTCGTCGTCTTCTGACCATCATGGGAAACTTGAACAAAGGAAGTTGTGTACAGCTTTGAAGGGTTTGTTGGCTACCGTGCACTTTCTGCCCACGCATTCTGCTCTTCTGGCGCTGGCGAACGCCGAGAAAGCTAACTCTACACGAGACTCTCAGCAGCAGCGGGAGATCTACGTCGAGACGCACGTCTCTGCGAGCTGGAAAAAGGCAGCGAGCCGCCACCGTCACAGGCGGGGCCACTCTACTGCCCCCTGGATACCTCTCGTTTCTTACAGATCTGACTTAGATGACGTGCTGCTGTGCCGCGCAGCAGAAAGCCCAGTCTATGGTGTAGCGACAACAAACTGCAGGGGCCCAGCAGACAACCTGAACTCTCCGCCTCCCCCTCGTATCACACTCAGCTCTTCTCATCACCCCTCCGATCCATCGACAACCGTCCTTCTGGAACCACCACCACCACCACCAACTGCTGCTGCTGCTGCTGCTGCTGCTGGTGCTGGTGGTTCTCTGGGTTACACCTCGTGTGCACCGCATGAAGCAGCAGCAGCCAGCTGCCACCGCTGCCTTCAGCCGCCCTCTTCTCCTTCTCGTTTCCTTCATCAGAATAGCAGCGCCGCCTCTTGTAAGGGTCACCGGCATGGCGCGCAGCTGCCGGAAGGAGGAGGAGGCGACTCTGCTCTCTTTTTGTTGCCTCCATGCCCGAGCAGCAGTGGCCGCAGCAGCAGCAGCAGCAGCAGCAGCAGCNGCAGCAGCAGCAGCAGCAGCAGCAGCAGCTGTAGCTTCAGCTGCTGTTCTTCAGGCGGAGGTAATGATCCTTTCAGCAGCAGCAACCAGGAGAGTATGTATGAGCGCTGCAGCTTTCTTTCGCTTGCAACTTCTTTAGGTACCTTGGAGTGTACAGTCAGCTACAATGAAGAGTTTGCGCAGAACATCGTTGCTGCTGCTGCTGCTGCTGATGCTGCTGCTGCTGCTGCTGCGGCTGTTGAGGCTGGAGATGGCTACATCGACGGCTATCAGCCTATTGCTGTATCTGCGCTTGGGGGGAGAGGCCTCATCAGCAGCAACAACAGCAGCAGCAACAACAGCAGCAGCAACAGCAGCAGCAGCTGCAGGTATGACCCCTCGCTAGATGCTGCTGCTGCTGCTTCGGATTCAGATATGTGGCTGGAGATGAACTGGCTGCGCCCCGCTGCAGCAGACGGAGGAGCAGCAGCAGAGCAGCTCAGTGCAGGTTCCTCCATAGACAGACCTGCTGCTGCTGCTGCTTCTGCTGCTGCTGTTGCTGCTGGCGCTGCTGCTGGTGCTGCATATACTCCTGCTGCTGGTGGTCGTGGTGTTGCTGCTGGTTCTGGGCGGCGTACTATGTTGCCTTCTTCTCGTTCTGTTTCTTCTCTTTCTTCTTTTTCATCTTTTTCTTCTTCTTCTTCTGCTGTTTCTGCTTCTGCTGCTGCTGCNTTTCTTCTCTTTCTTCTTTTTCATCTTTTTCTTCTTCTTCTTCTGCTGTTTCTGCTTCTGCTGCTGCTGCTGCCCCTCGAGAAGCAAACGGCAGCAGCATATGGCAGTCGCTGCTGCAGCGGCTGGCACTGAAGCGGGGGGCCCCCCTCCCCGCTTTTAGTTTGGGTTTGGGGCCCCTGCTGGAGCGGTGTCCTCCTCGGGGGGTCCTTAAGATACCTGCTGCAGCAGCAAATGCAGCAGCTGCTGCTGCTTCTGCTGCTGCTGCTGCTAGAGGCCGCCTCAGCAGAAAAGGAGAAGAAAATATTGAGCCACGCGGGCGAACCTGTACTCAACCTGCTGCTGCTGCTGCTGCTGCTGCTAGTGGCATCCGTGCAGCCACAGCAGCAGGCTGTGCAGGTCTGCTTCCTCCGCAGCAAAGCAGCAGCAGCGCCAGCAGCAGCAGCAGCAGCAGCAGCAGTGGCGGTGCGAGGGGTTTTGGTTTGGGTTTGAGTAATTTGTGGTGTACAGACAGCCAGCTGAGTCCGCTTGATTTCGCGCTGATGCTGGCAGAAGGAACTGAAGAAATCTACGATGAAATACAAGTTGACGAGAGGGGGAGAGAAGAAGAAAAAGAAGAAAAAAAAGAAAAAAAAGAAAAAAAAGAAGAAAGAGGAGATAAGAAAGAAGGTACAGACAAAGATAAAGAAGAAACGGAAATGAGAAGAGAAAAAGAAAAAAAAAATAAAAAAAAAAAAGAAGAAACAGAAAAAGAAGAATGGTTTGGTTCTCTATGGCTGAGCAGTTTGCAACAAATTCAATTTCAAGAAGAAGAAGAACAAACACAAATTAATTATTTTCCTTTTTCTTCTTTTTCTTCTTTTTCTTCTTTTGCTTTTTCTTCTCCTCTTCCTTTTTCTTCTTCTTCTCTTCTTTCTTCTCCCCCTGATGCTTCTCCTCCTCTTCTTTCTTCTTCTTCTTCTTCTTCTTCTTCTTCTTCTTCTTCTTTTGCTTTCCCTTTTTCTTCTTCTTCTCTTTCTTCTCCTTTTCCCTCACCGCCTGCTGCTCCTTCTCCTCCTCTCTCTTCTTCTTCTTCTTCTTTTTCTTCTTCTTTTTCTTCTTCATCTTCTTTTTCTTCTCTGCCTGTTCAGGCTGTGCAAGCGAAGATAAGAGAAGTGCTTGAGCAGGAGTTTGTTTCTCGGCCTCCTTTTTCTTCTTTTTCTTTTCCTTTTTCTTCTGCTTCTTCTTCTTCTTCTTCTGCTGCTTCTGCTGCTGCTGCTGCTGCTGCTGCTGCTGCTGCTGCAGTTTCTTCTTCTTGTGTTTCAGCAAATTCTTCTTCTTTTTATTCTTCTTCTCTCCATCTATCGAACTATCTTTCTGCTGTATTGATGGCTCTAGAGTCCTTTGCAGTGAAGCCCATACCCCCGCTAACAACCCCACCAATAAACACACTAACCACCCCCCCACCAACCCCCCTACCAACCCCACCAATAAACACCCTAATAAACCCCCTAATAAACCTCCCTATAGACCCCCTAATAAGCCCCCCCGCAGTAAACAACCGAAAAAATCCAGCAGCAAAAGCAGCAACAACCCCACCAATAAACACACTACTAGCAACCCCACCAGTAAACACCACCACACACCCTCTAAACACCCTTAACAACCCCCTAACTCCGTTTGCTGCAGCAGCAGACGC